ACACGCAAGCGCATGTCAAAAACTTCCGTCAGTTCATGGGCCTTCGGGCCACTGATTCACCGCCAAAGTGTCTAGTAAAAATGGATGCAGCAGGAGAGCTCGAAGGAGCGGCCCACGAAGTCGGTCTCGTCCCCGAGACAAGCTTACCGAACAGATGGCCACACAACACCGTTCTGGAGCGCGACATTCGCGAGGAGAAGGAATGCTGCCGCAGCATCCACATGCAATCAGGGCTGCCCTATTCGTTGCATACGTTTAGTTACCCATTTGCATGTCTCTCCATGTCGTTCGACAGGCCTGCACCTTTCAGCCCAGGGAAAACCCAATGGGAAGCCCTCACCAAAGAAAAGTTTCAAGGTAAGAGATGCTGTTTCGGGCAATTGGTTTGGTACAGAACCAAGACTCCTGGCAAGCTCACTCTCGATCCGAACATGGCGCCTGCGCTCTTTTTGGGTTGGAGGATCGATCCGGGGTTGCGGTACCGTAATGTGGTCAAAGTCATGGACTATGAAGCCTTCCGCAAAGATGGTTCCATTTCCGTTCACGATGTTCCTGAACCAGAATTGTTCGTTGAAGACGGCCCCCCAAGCTTTCCGATTGCAGCAGCAGCAGATAGAGCATTGCATGGAGGCAAGACAGAGGGGTCTGAACCCCCACCCATGCCCCTGCGAGAGGCGCCCTTCGGTGCCCCACCGACTCCATCCGCTGTCAAGTCAAAATCCGTGTACATAACTGTTGAGAGGATCATCAAGTTCAAGGAAACGCCAGGTTGCCGTGCATGCACCGGTCATTCCAAGATTCACAGTGCCGAATGCAAGAAGAGGTTCTCCGAACTTGTCTCTGCAGATCGAGCTGAAGCAGCTGCAAAAAGCGCTGCCAAAACTGAATCTAAGGAACCCATTCCCATTGTTCATACTGAAGGGGATGAGGAGTTAGCTAGAGCAATCCACGCATCCGAGCATGGAGAGGATCCTAAGCCCGCAGTTAGTGCAGAAGATGTTGCGCATGAATTTGATGCAGCCGAAGCTGGGGAGCCCGCTCCCTCAAGACCCGGCGGCTCATTTTTCGATACCGCGCCAGCGACAGCCGCTACATCGCAAGGTGAAGATTTTTGGGTGTTCAAAGAAAATGCCAACTGTTTGGTCCGATACCATATCATGCCAAGGCAAAATCTCTTTACCCCAAAAGAGGTCGAGGATTGCCCCGTTTCCCCAGAAAGATTTACTGCAGCTCGCACCACTCGTGCCGTGTTTCAGGGGGGCAAAGCAGACAACATCCATGATGGTTGGTTTGGTAGCCGACCCAATCGCTCACTTGGAGATGCATGGACCGGGTTCACAGTGTTCAAGTTAAAACCCATTCAGTCCGATTGTGTTATCACCACAGGTGCAGCCGTGATGTTAGACTCCGTACCGCCGACACCTCTCACCGATGCGTCAAAGAACGGTCGTCCGAACACATTGCCAATTTTTGGCATGCCATGCAGCGCAGAGGTTGAAGCTCCACAGCGCAAGCAGTTTGAGGTTGGAAATCATCGTGCCCGCAAGAAACAGGCACGTATTGACAAGTTGCCTGTGATGTTCGAATACGCATGTTCACCAGAGTCCAACATGGGTCGCGTGTTTGAAGGTCTTGGCATACCTCATGTTAGGCTGGCTAAAGAGTTTATCGACCTCAGCACAGATGAAGGAGAAATCCAGTTGCAGTCGCAGATTGAAGGTTGTGATAAACCCAATCTCTGGGCCGCAATTCCCTGTACATCAGGATCAGCATGGCAACGCCTTAATAAGGCCAAGTTAGGAAGCCAGTTCAAAAAGAAACTGAAGCAAAAGGTTAAAGAGTCGAGAGAGTTGTTCTCCAGATTCAGACGTCACGCCGAGACTGTCCTCCATCAGGGGGGTAGTGTTTCGTTTGAGTGGCCAAGGGATTGCGACAGCTGGGCTAGGGATGATGTTTCTGCATTCTTTAGAGAATATGCACACGCTTTCACCCCAGCGACCTTCCATGGTTGCGCCCTAGGCCTGAAGGACAGCAATGGCTATCCCATCAAAAAGCCATGGAAAGTCATGACCAGCAATAGCACACTCGCATCCGCACTAGGTGCATTCAAGTGTCCGCACGAAAAAGGGTATAAGCATTCGCTTGCAGCAGGTAACAAGACCGCAAAGACCGCTTTCTACCCCGAAGGCATGTGTCTCACAGTTGCCCGTGCGCTGTATCCGACAGTTCAACCCGCCGTGCCTGCGATGCCTGTTCAAGTGCCATTGCCTCTCGATCACCGGGAACGTGAACAGCAGTTGAAGCACATATCCCCTCTCTCCGGTTTGGAAGATATAGGTGTTGCTGTTGAGTCAGATGAAAAGTGTCACAACATTCTTGAGCAAGTTCTTGATGTTGAAAATCTCATCGCACATTCCCTAGGACAAGTCACAGAGAAGAAGGATCCTGAGATCACCGCAATGGTGACCAGACTCTTGTCACGTGCCGAAATGTTGGCTTCCTCGGAAGCTCTTGAAGCCGTTCGACTTGAAGCCACAGGCCTGGAGAAAGCCGGTGCTTGGGATCTAAATTCAGTCCGAGAGTATGATCAAGTCGCTGCTGAGGCGCGACGATCCAGTATAAAAGTCCATTTCGGGCAGTTGATGTCGCTAGCATCCGTCAAGTTCGCCGAACTCGCGAAACACCTTCAGAAGAAAGGTAGGATTGTGTATCGCGGAGACTGTGCGAAAGATGAACATGGCGCAGCAGCTGTCTACCAAGAGTTGGGAGCAAATCCCACGAGCGTACAAGGTCTTAATAACTGTCTCGCTTATGGATCCCTGCCAGGGAATTCCACCACAACAGCGGACGCTATAAAGGCTTATGTGCAAGCACTGCTGAAGTCCAAGTACCAAACTTGGATCACACTCCCGCCTGAGCTCCGGCCAAGGTGGTGGCGCGAGCGTTTCGTGAAACCTGTGGTTTTGCTCGTTAAAGCTCTTTATGGGCATCCTGACGCTGGCGGACTCTGGGAGGCACACCTCAAAGGGTTCATTAGTGAACTTGGAGGGCGTGAGGTCGCAGAGTTTCCTGGAAACTTCTGGTTCAAGGAGTCCGGGTTACTTCTCTCGACATACGTCGACGACTTGACGTTGGCCGGCCCCAGCCACCTTCATAAAGACTTCTGGGAAAAGTTAACAAGACTGGTTGATATAGAACCCCCAGAAGACATATACCGGGTGCTAGGCAGGAATCACCTTTTGATAGATGCTCCAAAGGACACAACTGAACCCGATCTTAATGCCGCAATGGGCAGATTGAAAGGGGGCATGGCGTTCGACATGCGGGATTATGCCCGTCAAACGGTAGCATTATATCTTGAGGTTGCACAGCTGAAAAGTGAAAAGCTGCGCGATGCCACCACTCCATTCTGTCCTGTTGGATCCCTTGATCCTGCAGATGACGCCTTGGAGGGTGAGCTCGGCTTCGCCGCTTGCCGCGTGTTGATGAAAGCCTTATGGCTCGGCCGTTTGGCACGCCCAGACCTGGTCAAGCCTATTGGCGACCTTGCCTCATTTGTTCAAAAATGGTCTAGAAACTGCGATAAGCAGCTACATAGGCTTGTTTGCTACATAAATAGCACGGTCAACAGCACGCTAGTAGGCACAGTTCAAGATTCGACTGAGGATTTGCATCTGTCTCTTTATGTAGACGCCGATTTCGCCGGAGAGCGAGATGCAAAATCCACGTCCGGAGGATTCTTGATTTTGAGTGGTCCACACACGCATTTTCCGCTTGCGTGGGTATCCAAAAGGCAGACATCGGTCTCTCGATCAACGACCGAGGCGGAGATTGTATCTCTCGCATACTCCCTTTATCAGGAAGCGCTCCCTACGCTAAGCTTGTGGGAGCTGATCTTGGACCGACCATTCCATCTCAAGATCCACGAGGACAATCAGGCGACTATCCTCGTAGCAAGGAAAGGTTTCTCATCCAAGCTACGCTGTGTCCAGCGAACACACAAGGTGAACCTCGCGTGCATCGCAGAGCAGCTTGAAAGCGAACACATCTCGATAGAATACGTCCAAACCGACATGCAGTCAGCGGACATCTTCACGAAAGCACTTCCACCCAACAAGTGGGACCATGCCATCCGGTTGCTCGGCATTCGTGTTGACCTGCCAGAGAAGCTTGAAGACGTTCGTGAAAGTAGAGCCGCTAAAGCAGCTGCCTAGTGCGCTGCAGCATGTCTGCAAAAATTTTCCAAAAGTGTGCAAAGTGCCTGGGTGATGCTTGAATAACTTGTGTCAGTCGTTGTGATGTAAACTTGACTTCAAGTTGGCGTGGTAATGCGCCCAAGACACTCCCTCAGTGCCGTCAATGAGGGGGGAGTCAATTATCACGATGACATTTATGGCCCAGAGGTACATGAGGTAGGTCCCCATGTAGTCAGTTGCATGTTGTACATTCAAGTGGTTGCCAAAGCATGATCCAATCACTGCTTTGGCTCAAGTGCTGAAAACAGCGCGTTGCACCGCGCTAGCCCCAAGGTTAAGGGAGAGGTCGCAGTCACGGAGGGGTTCGTTCCTTTTAAGGTCCCGGGTTCCCCCGTTGTTGACAAAACTGTGTTTCCCCCTCCTTTGAGTTCAGCTGCGCCAATACTCAGTTAGTATTGCTAGTGCTAAATTTACTCACACGATTCGTGGTTGCCGTCACCTCTATCCTGCCCTGCCTGCAACACCTGGTTCAAGTATGGTTGCATTGGCCACACGGTAAGTAGATACTGGCAGTATTCGGTTTAGCGCTGGCAACACTCATTTTGTGGCCAGCCCCACGGGTTGCCAGCGCCCCGAACCAACGCCCCGAACGCCAGCCGAAACCAAAACCTGAGCCCTAAACCGCGCGGCCCTGTGGAAGACTAAAGGAAGGGTTCAAGGCAAGCTTTTCGGGAGGTTCCCGGAAAGGTATCTTGTCTGGTTATATCGAAGTTTGTGTCCAGGCCATCCGATAAATCGAAGCAGGACAAGCTGAGAACAGAGGCACAAGCCGAGGCCAAGGAGCTACAGGCGCAGCCTCGCATCGTATTTGCCCCCGGTTGCGCTCCTTCGAGGCTCAGAACCAGTCGCTGGCCAAGCTGCTGAACTCGCAGGAGCGGCAGGAGTCGCAGGCGCCTGGACCGCCCCCATGTAACACCGCGCGCGTGTGACACGCGCGAGGCGTCCCAGGCGTCCCAGTCGAAAGCGACAGTCCAGACGAAGCTCCAGCAGGCAATGCTCTCGGCACGCCTCCGGCTCCGAATTTCGGGTCCGATGGCTGCGATGGCTCTAACTCCGATACTCGGCTTTTCGGAGAGTTGGCTTGAGGTGCGGGCGGAGGAGGCACAGCTCCTGGAAGACGCGAACCAACAGGCCTCGGATTTGGAGGCGCGAAGTCTATTGGTCAACAGGCGCCGGCGGCGCCGGCAGTGCGCATGTGCGTTTTTTCCAGAGGCCCAGCTGCAGAGCCAGCAGCAGTCTCTGGAGCTGGATGTGCAGCTAAAAGAGAAGTCGGCTTCAATCTCAGTTCCGCGTAGTGGAATACGTGGCTGCCTGTGGATCCCCCGAGATCCTGGACCTCCAGAAACAGAGGCTGCAGAACGGCGAGCGGATCCAATCCATGCAGCATGAGCTGGAGGAGGCAAGCGTGGCAAGCGTGGCAAGCGTGGCAAATGTCGCATTCATTTTCTCGTCAAAGGTGAGCTCCCAAAATAGGCAGCTGGAGCATGACCTGAAGGCCACCAAGGAGCGTTCTTTCCGTGTCGGCACTACGCACTCCGTGTGCTCGCAGGAGCAGCGCCGGCACATGGCCCGCCAAGCTGTGCCGTGTGAGAGAGCTTTTGCGGGGCAGGTCAGCGCGCAAGTGCAGCAAGTGCAGCTCGTAGCCGCAAAGCTTGAGAAGGCCATGGATGTGACACTCGGACTGCTGAACTGCGCATAACTGCGCAACTGTCAGGCAGAGCGGGAGGAGAAAAGGCGCACCGCAGGGCAGATGGAGGGCCTCCAGAGACAGTTGGAGGCCGGCTTTGCGTGACCAATGTCACCCGCGTATCGGATGCATCATAGTGGCAAAGGCAGAAGAATCCAAAATCAAGCTTGAGAGAGACCGACAGGCAGGTGCTCCTTTTCAATTGCCAGTGAGCGATTTCCGTCTGAGGCTCGGATGCGGGAGGAGGCCTTGCAATGCGCTTTGCATCCGGCTGGCAACATGCTTGCATCCGGCTAACATGCTTGCAAGGAAGGCGGCAAGGAGCTGCTGGCATCCGAGCTAGGCAAGGCGAAGCTCCAGGAGGCCAGCCGGACTTTCCAAACGGACGTCTCACATGCGCCATGCGCCATGCGCCACGCGCCACGCGCTGCACGCGCTGCACGCGCTGCACGCGCTGCACGCGCTGCACGCGCGCTGCACGCGCTGCACGCGCTGCACGCGGCACGCGCCACGCGCTGCACGCGCTGCACGCGCTGCACGCCGCTGCACGCGCTGCACGCGCACGCGCCACGCGCCACGCTGCGCGCGCTGCACGCGCTGCGCGCGCTGCACGCGCTGCACGCGCTGCACGCGCTGCACGCGCTGCACGCGCCGCACGCGCCACGCGCCATGCGCCATGCGCCATGCGCCATGCGCCATGCGCCAGGTTCGCGGCTTCCTGGCAAAGGAAAAGACGCTGTCGTCCATCGCGAAGGCGCGGTTTCAGCAGTCAGCCCACGGACGAGTGCAGCTCAGGTTGAACTCAGGAAGCTGCATGAGCAGCTTCGTCGCTCATGAAGCGCTGCCTGTGCACTCTCATTCGGGTCACATCAGTTTGATGGCGCGTGAAAATAAACCCCTTTCACTTGCCATGTTTGAGTCATGTTTCGTGTATTTGTGACCCTGAGCCCGCAGCCCTGAAACATCACAAAGCCAGGCACACAAGGGCAAAGATCACATAGGCTTCAGGCAGCGTAACATGCGGATGTCGACATTGTTGAGGTCCTGGAGCAGCACATCTGCGGCACGCTTGAACACTTCAGCATAGGGCAGGGGGCTTGCGGTGAAAATGCCATGGCACATCGATCTAGGGTTTGCTCAAGATGTCGCACCTCAGAAGCGTCCAGAGTGAGCAAGGTACCGCGAGGCAGGGCTTTGTGCAGCATCCCTGGCTACTTTGTTTTGTGTGGCATTTTGTGCCTACTTGCCGCTTTTGCATGACAGGCAATGGCAAGATTGCCTCTGTGGGCCTTGGGGTCCCGGGCCCGGCAATTCGGCCGCGGCCCCCGCAACCGCAGTCACGGTCCCCGCGGAGCGAGGACGTGGCCTGGCAGCTGCAGCAGATGGCGCTGACCTGCGAGGACGCCGTGCGGCGCATCGACGAGCTCAGCGCGGCCACGCGGCTTTTGCTTGGGGAGCTGGGCGAGGCCACGGCCACCGGGGCCACCGGGGCTACCGGGGCCACCGGGGCCACTGGAATGGCCACTGCCTCGTCCGGGACTACCGCCAGTTTCACCAACGAAGCGGAGCCCCAAGAGCCGCAAGAGCCGCCCAGCGTTTGCAGCCCGGACTGCGTTGCCGAAGTCGATGCCTTGGAGCGAAGCCTGGCCTTGTACAGTCCGCCACCTCTGGGCACCAGCAGCGTCCTTCTGGCCGGCCGCTGCATCAGCCTTGAGAGCTTTTCAAGCTTCAGATTTGCGAGGCAAAGCCCAGCAGACAGGCGGCGCATCGCTGAGGGGCTCCGATCTGGCCAGCTCCATCGGCTTCTTTGTCACACCTACGGCAAGTTTGACCCACCGGGCGAGGGTTTAACTTGGTCACGAGGTCGGCTCAGGGATTTCACAAGGGCCTGCTTCTCCGAGCTGGGGATTCCGCCACCCGAAGAATCTCAAATTTACGAGGTGTACAGTTTTTTTGACCCGGAGTTACGCATGAGCCTGTCAGCTCTGGAGTCTGTGTGCCTGGTGGAGGCATTGCTCCGGGCTGCACTGCACCAGGAAACTGCCATCCGGAGCGACGACCGGAGCGACCAAAGCGATCGGAGCGAAGCGAAAGGGTTTGACCACCCAACTATGCTGGCTGAGCGTTGGGTTGCGGACTACACACCTCTCCCTGTCAATGGCACGGTAAGCATTGCTTACTCAACCGGTGTTGTGATTCAGTTCGCAGACTTTGCGGAATTGCTTCAGAGCTTGGCCTATGCCAATGCACAGCACAAACCGCGCATGCTCAAGAACATGGCAACTTGCAACTTGCTGAAGCATGCTCTCGAAGTTTTCCAGAGGTTTGACTCTGGAACTGGCTACTTCACCTGCGACAAGCTCGTGGGATTTGTGGCCGCTGTTTTCAGCGAGGAGAGGTTGCAAGCCCCTACCACCAACCAGGTTGCTGTCTTCTTTGACAAGTTTGCACAGGGCAAGCCGAAGCTGAATACCAGCGAGTGTCTCTGTCTCGTTGACGCCATCTTCCGAGCAATCCTGCACTGCGACGCACGGAAGGCAGGATTTGTGGGACAGGGAAAAAGAAGGCCGCCAAGATATGCACCCTTTTCATATCTTTGTGTCCTTCTGCCAGCTTCTGCGTGCTCATCACCCGCATCGCATATCATCATCTCGCATCGAAGGCTGACGAGGCGCCCGCCGTACAGGAAGGCAAGACTTCACACCGTATTTGCACAGAGCAGTGTTTGCCTGGAGCGCTTCCGAACCAGTCAGAGGCCAGGGCGGCAAAGCATGAATCATGAGATGCAGCTTCTGAATTCTGCGGCCAGGCTCGGCCAGATGTGGGGACTTCATGTGGGTCTGGATTTGAGCTGACACACGAGGCAGGAACTCATTGCGCATGCGCTGCTCTAGAACAAGTTCCTTTGAGGTGGACGCTTTGCTTGTTGCACGGGAGGGCCGCGAGGAGCAGGGCATGCCGGGGCATGCCGGGGCATGCCGGGGCATGCCGGGGCATGCCGGGGCATGGGAAAGTTTAAAAGGGGGCTGGGGCCCCGGGGTTTCGGGGCGTCTCAGGAGAACTCGGAGGAACGGGCGCTGAGAGCCGCGCAGTCCTGGGTGGCGAGTGCCGACCTGCCCCCACTCGAAGGCCTCGGCGGCAGCGCTGAGTTCGCGCAGATGGCGCTGCAAGTCTACTGCCAGTACTTCGCCGGCCACGGACACCAGGGGCACCTTTTCTACAGAGGCCCGAGGGGTCATGAGGCCCAGGACTTCATTGAAGTTTTCCTCAAGGGCGCTGGCACCGGCGAGGGCACAGGTCTCGCCGGTGCAGTTGTGAAAGTAGCAGAGCAAATCGACCTCCAAAACTTGGGGTACCTGGACATCACTCAGTGCCTCCTGCTGGCCGATGGCGTCCTGCGCTGGATTCTCACCAGCGACGCAACCTGGGAGGAGCAGGCCTGTCACTGCAAGTTGGCCGTAGCAGGCGAGAGAGTCGAGAGGGTGATAGGAGTCTCCAGCGGCTCCAGAGCCTCCGTACTTTGGCCTGCCGCATTCTTGGAGTACGGCATATGGCTAAATGGCTCCTCGCAGAACTTGCAGCGAGGTCTATGGTCTTGCGGCCCGACCAGTCCAAACAGACAGGAGGGCTCACAGGAGGGACAAAGGCGGCCCATGTGAAACCCTTCGCCAGGCCCCAAAGCTGAACCACTACAGGCCCTTTGCTTGCGGGAGCCGCGTGTACGTTCCGAGCTGGGACTGAGGCAGACATATTCGAGATCGCCCGGCAAGCCTTCATGACTTGCGACCACAGCAAGCACGGCTACCTAACCTGGTCCGAGGCAAGCAAAAGAGATCAAAAGAGTCATCGGAGCTCGGACGTTGCCGAATGCATAGGTGAAGCACTTTGTGGGCATGGTGTTTCGGAGCTTGAGCACCGGGCTCAGTGTCGCGGGTCATTTAGGTATCTCAGCTTGTCAGGTTGCAACATGGCTTCTGAGAGTGATGTGTACAAGCTGTATGCTCGATTTGATGAGGACGGATGCTAAAAGGTAAGGCCAACCATTCAACTTGCCACAGTGGGGCCGGGCCAGGAGCACACTGCTCGCCTGAGCCTGGATCAGTGCTTGCGACTGGCAGAAGCTGCTGTCACTGGAGCGGCAGTCTGTCACCGTGCTTTGGTTGTGATCAATCTTCGCATCCACTTTCGATTCAGCCCTTCAGTGCGGTGTTGCATCGTTGCTGGCGTAAATCTGCAGGTGCAGCGGGTGATTCCACCAGCGTTTCCTGACTGACATTATTTGCATGAGACATTCTTGATGGCCAATGGCCAAACCAAGCTTACGAGGGGCAGGAAATTCGCTGACTTCCATCTTGGCCTTGCGAGTTTGGATGCCAGCTGCCAAGGCCAGGCCCGCAGAGGAAGCATCTCGCCGAGTAGGGACCCCAGCCGAAGCAGGCTCCGGTCTTTGTGGAGTTCGCAGATTTGTTGCCGGCTATGGGTCCAAGGAATCTATGGAAAGCTCTGGGCTATCAGCGAGCCGTACGATGCTTGCAGGGCCGAGACTTGGCCAGCTTACAAACATGCCTGAAGAATTCAGAGCAGTCCCCCCTCCTTAAACATGATTGTGCCAGGCTGTCCTGAGCTCCATCCAGTTGAGTGCCTCTAATTCATTCTAGATTGTTTGTGGTAGCCTTGCGCGCTCGCAGCTCTTGCATGGCCCCACCCCAGCTGTTGCCAAAAGATCGAAATATGGTTCCGGCCTCAAGTTGCCAAAGCACGAGCGAAATTCAGAGAATTTGGCCCGGCCTTTGCAGCGCAAAGTGCGCGAGACCCGCCACTTGTGCTTGCCTGCAGGCTTGTCGACCTGTGTTTCGTACTATTCTCCGCTGCATATGGCAACATGCTGGCTCCAGCGACCAGTTTTCCCGTGCCGAGCAACCGGCAACACGTGCTGCTTGACAGCATTGCTTGCTGTACCCATGACAGTTGGGCAGTCTTTCAGCATGACTCAGAGAGGATTGCGCCAGGCCATAGAATTGCTAGCTTGGTCGGCAGGCTTTGGGATCCTCCACTAGTGGGTCTTAGCAAGACTCGGCCAGGCAGCTCGCAAGCAATTATGTATGCCCCCATGCCAGCCCAGCCGCTTGTTCGCATATATGGAAAACGGACGCTTTTACCATATGCAGGGAGTCTCATGCTGACTGATTGCAGAGATGCGTCTTGCGTCATGCGCATTTGTGCTGAGGTTTCCGTCGTATGAGCCGGTCATGCCGATGGCTGCGGCAATGCCGATGGCGGCCATGCCAGCGCCGATGGTGTACGGGTCCTCATTCGGGCCCGGGTCCTACGTGCCGCCATACGCAGGCGGGCGCACCCCATCAACAGTCTGAGAGATAGATAAGAAGAGAACGTTTGTAAATAAATAGAAACATAAAAAAAAGAACATCCTTTAGATATATATTCTTTTAGAAGAATATACTGCTTGTAGGCTCGCCCAGCTGGCCCGGAAGTCCAGGCGCCGGTCTTGGCTTTGCAGGTTCAGTCAATCCACGCTTAGGACCCACGAACGGCAGCGGGCCCAGCGGGCCCAGCTCGAGACTCGCATGCGACTCTGCGCGCTTTGCGCAAGGTTTCGCCAAGGGCGCAGGCAAGGGCCCAGGCCGGCCAGCCGGCCCAACGGGCCCAACGGGCCCAACGGGCCCAATGGGCCCGGGCCCAGCCGGAACGGGCCTTGCCCCGGAGCCCATCGGCATGAGTCAGGCTCAGGTTCAGGGATTTTCACCCGTGCTGGATGATGGGACTGCTGCGATGTACTTGCAGCAGCGCCTTGGCACGTAGCAAGACGCTTGTAACACTTTGCCTGGCAACCGCCTATCATAGTTCTCAGCGTGACACCGCGAGCTTGCTGTTGATTTTTCGATTTGCAAGGGTAGGCTTGCTCCATCCCATACCTGGGAGACCAGGTATTTTCAACTCGTCAAGGCCCATTGTGACACGACCTTGATGAACAAGCCTGCAGCTGTCCGGGAGCTCAATGGTAGCTTGGGCTTGTTTGAACGAGCGCAAGCCAAATCGCTTGGATTGTTCCTGTCACGTTTTGGCTGCCATGACAGGCAAATTGTTCCCGATCATCGTGGAGGCGTTCAAGCGCCATGACAAGGATGGAGATGGTGTTCTCCAGAAAACCGCTGCTCAGCTGCAGCCCAGGAATCAGATGGGTGCATTTCACCTTGACCGTTGCTCAGGAAGCAGGAATATTTTTCTCTCTTTTCACTTCAGATAGGCCAGCTGCATTGGGCCGTGCGCACGTTGCACGAATTGTGCAGCGCGACTTCCAGACTTCCAGGCTGGGCTTCTCTGACGCGGCTCGGGGGCTGGTGGTGCAACACACGGGCGACTCTGAAAAGGCGTTTGGCGTTTGAAGGACAGGGGGCCTGGCTCACGCTGCTAGGCAGCCGCGCAGATGGCCGCCTACAAAAAGCACAAGGCCGATGGGCTTGACCTTTCACCTGGAGTGACCCAAACGGGCCAGCGAAGGGTTGGACCCCAGCTGATGGAACTGTATGCGGAATGAGCATGGCTATTTCGCAAGCATGCACTAACCCGCTACGCAACGGCAATGGTACTTAGCTCTTTGTCACGCTCCTCAATTTCAAGGATTCAAGCGTCAGCTGAATGGACTTGTCAAGCGTACGCTTGGCGGTGCCGGTGGCAAGTCACGTCTGAATTTTATGTTGGCATAGTGACAGTTTGTTGGCGCTCTGCACGATTCCTTCTTTATATGTCTGGTGATCAGGGTATTGTGCAGGGCGCCTTCTTTGTTGTTTGGCTCTAGTCGCACGTGAGGCATGTGTTCCAGGTTATGAGTGCTTCACGAGCATGTCCGAGTGCTTGGCTGTATGCGTCGGACTTTCTCAGGATGTCCTGGACAGGAAGGCATTCGCGGCATTCAATGCCAACGAGCACGGCTACCTGCAGCTACATGAGGCAGACATGTCACATTTCGGCGAGTTGGAATTGCGCAGGGCCCTTGCAGAGCAAGCACGTGGCTGACAGGCCGTGTCCGCGCTCTCCATCGGCAGTGAAAAGAATGACGCCGTGTTAAAGGCTTGGGCATGGCAATGTGTTGGCCATGTCGGCCATGTCGGCCGTGTCGGCATGGCAATGTGTTTTCTGGTGTCAAGGCTTTCGGGCTTCGACCAGAAGATGCCGACCAGGACGACCACTACTACACCGACCATTATGCCTGAAGGAGCCGGCAGGGCCGAGAGCTGAAAACTCACAGCCTTGACCATAGAAAAATAAGTTGGCCGTCACGCGGAGATTTGCTAGCACATCAGAGCACCGAATCTCGTAGAGGACAGTGAGTTGAGCTCCAACGGGCCGTGCTACTAACTCAATCAACAACGGCCAGCATCCCTTGCATCATCCTGTAGGAGTTGGGGATCGGTGACTTTGCGAAATGCTGAGCTGAGACTCTGAATGAATGGCCTTGCCTTCTCGTTTGGCTACATATTCTAGCATATTCTAACCGTGGCAACTTGGCTGCGCCTAGTTTCAGCTCCTCTTGATCAAGTCTCACATAGTTGACAAAAAGCGCGGCCTGTTGCCTTGATTCCGAGCACGTAGGGCAGCCTGACCATCAGTCGGGAGCGGGGCAATAGGCCGCTCCTCCTTGTGTTCTTGTGAAGCTTGTCAACCTCTGGTGTGCGGAGAGTGCTTGCTGCCTGACATCTGAGATGTCTTGCAGCGGGCCAAGTCCCAAACCAGCAGGCCGTTATAATGGAAGCCCATCAGATTGTCCCTCATGAAGTCTGCACAGACTCCGCACTCATTTTTGCGCAAAGAAACAAGTCGACAGCGCCGTGGACATGTACGGAGCCAGGGTTTGTGCGTGCGTGTGTGCGTATGTGCGTGTGTGTGTGCAAGTGTAAGTGTAAGAGTGTAAGTGTGTAAGTGTGTAAGTGTGTGTTTATTGCCCGTGTCGTTGCGTGGACTCGCTGTTTGCGGCTCCTGTAGTTTTTTAGTGGCTGCAAAGCAGCTAGTGACCCCAGCTCAAGGATGCCGATCTCCACTTATGAAAGCACGTTTTGCAGTGCCCGCTCCACTTGTGTGACATGGCTGCTAGGGTTGTGGTTAGTTGGTGGCTTTCGGGCAGTGTAGAGGTATGGACCACTGGGCCACCGCGTTCTACGTCCAAAGCAGCGACGCCAAGGACAAGCCAACGCAGCAAAGTTGAAATCAGATTTCGCTTTGACAGGACCCACGTTCCAAGTCAATGCCCTAGTCACGCTTGCATCGCTTGGCATCCGGGCTATTTGCAAGGCGCGAGGAGAACGTGAGGGTGCCGGACCTGCAGCTCGCCAGTTGGAATGAGCTGGAGTGACAGTTGGCCCGAAAGCATGTTGCCATCATGTCAAGCGCCCGATCCTCCCACCGCAATCATATCAAGCCCCGAGAAAAAGGAGAGTGTTCCACATGATGAGCTAAAGAACCTGCAGACTTGGCTTTGTACAAGTGCAGCTTTGCAAGTAGACTAGCGCAGTGTCGCGCTGCAACATGCTGTTTGCAAGCTGCTATACGCAGATTGCTTTGTGCAACTTCTCTGTGCAGATAGCTCTTTTCAAGTGCGAGCTGCTTCGCGCACGTATTTTTTGTAGCACTGTCTGCGCAGTCGTGCTGCGCCGCAGGTCTGCGTGTCGATCTTGGCGAGTGCTTCGCGCGCGTTGCTTTATGCAAGCTGCCCTGCGCGAGTTTTGCGTGCAAGACATTAACCTTTGCAAGTTGCTCCTCGGAAGTGCTTTGCGCAAGTGCCTTTGCGCACGTTGTTTCGCGCAAGTTGCAATTTTCTGCGGGAACGCACGTCTGCGCGAGCGCCTGGCACGACTACTCTATTCGCACATCACGCGCGCAGCGCTCTCACGAACTCTCGGACCCCAGGCCGGGTCCCCCCCTCCCAAACAAACACAACTCTCACAACTCTCGTCGGCGAATTCCTCGTCAAATGCCCCTCGCAACGCTCACAGCTCTCCTCTCAACAGCCCTCGCCCTCTCACAATTGAAATAGTCTCCCATCAAACAACCTTCGAAGCTCTCACAGCTCTCCTCTCGACAACCCTGGCATCTCTCTCAATTGAAATGTCTCGTCAAACAACCTTCGCAACTCTTTTGTACGAAAGTTGAGTTTTGCCAGCGAAAGCTGCGGGAAGCGCCGATCCCCACAGAGGGTTGGCCCGGAGAGCGCAGACATCGCAGAACGGCCGTTGTTTGACATCGACCTCGTCGGCCCGGGATGGCACAATCAAGCGCTCAGTTTTTCGAGATCGACCACGCCGATCCCCCGCGGGCCGCGATCCCGTGTGACAACAGCCCTCGCCTTTATGGCTCTGGGCAAGTTGCTCTGCGCAAGTTGATGCTCTGCGCAACTTAGTCCAAAGGCTTCGCACGGAAGAACCCTTCGCGATGCTTCGGGAAAGCCTGCCGTTGAGCCTGATCCGTTGCCCAAGGCATCGCAAGCTTGGCACTGAGTGTCCCTGGACATGACACGTTGTCGCTGCCATTGAATCATTGGCAGTCGCACGGCAATCAGCTGTTTTCAGGTGCCCACGCCAAAAAATAACCATGTGCCAGACCATGGTTCTCTCGCAGCATTGTTTTTTTTTGACAGGTACGTTTGCATAATAGACGTAAGCCTAGCATGCGCCCCTCGCTGAAATGTCCGAAGGTGTCGCCGTTCTCGGAGTGCAGGGCAAGTCAGGTGCTGAGAGCTTGGCAGAGTGGCACTGGTGTTCACGCCCTTGCCACGGGGCTGGAGGTCCGGCCTCAGACACCGGTCTACAATTCGCGCGGCCCATGCGCCTTTGCGCCTTGCCCTCTCGGGTCGCTCCATGAGAGGTACAACCCCTTCATCGCGCAGGAGCTGCCGCGAGGGAAGTTTTGCAGCTTCCCAGCGAATCTCACGAGGACGTGTTTTTCTTGCTAGATTTGAGGCGCGTTGGCTCACTGGGCCAGGCAGTTGCCAAAGTCCCCGGACCCACTGGGCTTTACATCGTATGGCCAGGCCTGACAGGCAGGTGTTGGCACCTGCCATTGGTGCTGGCCCAGGAGAGGCGGCGCCGCTTCGAGGATCCGGCAACCCTGGCGGGTTGCACGAGTTCAGAGCCATGAGCGTTTGTGGTGCACCTCTCTGGAGGGTTTTGCGAGAACTGTTGGGATTAGAAGATGGAGAAGAACTTCGCCATGTGCCGAGAAGTTTTTGAGGTCATACTCATCAGCGCGCGTGGCGAACAGCATGCACTATGAGTGCGGCCACTTCGTCACCTTGGCATGTTTGCATTTTTATCCCTTGCATTCGTTGCAATTCTTTGCAGAACTGGGCTGGTTGGGCAAGGCCTCAAAGTAGATGTGGACAAGATTATCGTCGTTGCATTGTTGTTTGAAACGGCAGGTTTGCCGTGCTACAATTCGAAGGGCAAAAGCAGACATGTGCATCATGAAAGTGACGCCGCAACAATTCAACCAGGGGGCTTGCTCCTCTTTGCACGCGTGTTGTTAATGCCTTTGCTCCGGCGGAGAAAGAACCTCATTCAGTTTAGTCGCTGCAGCCGCAACACTTCACATCTAAGCTGAAGCATCTGAAGGTCAAGTATATGGTCTCTCTCGACTGGCTCAAGGATGGGACTGGCAGGGCGTGTTGAGGGCGTAAGCCAAAACATCCATGTGCCCGTGCCGCCAGCTTCTCAGCTTTGCACGCATCCTTCATTGCCCATATTGCACCAACAAATTCCGAGGGCTGGACCTTTGACGTAGCCCTAGCCTCAGCGCAGGAGTCAATCGAGCGCGATGAAGCTAGACTTGCTGCCACGGGAGCACAGGTTCGGTGCCATGGGATTCTTCAAGCTGGGACGGCCTGCACCCACAGTGCATTCGTGCAATCTGTGGAATCTGCGGCATCCGCAGAATGAGAGATGTGAGAAATACGAGGCTGGAGCGTGGCAAAACAGAGTCCAAAGCACTGCCCTGAGTACAGTCTGCGCATCCCAAGCAGTTTGTGTCCCAAGCAGTTTGTGCTGATTCTGAGGCTGACAAAAAGGACGGCGAACCGCTGTTGGAGGCTTCCAGAGTTTGTTCAGTTAGACTCGTGGCTTCTTGGATTCCGTGCGCAAGATCCAGATGGACTGTCGCCTTTCTTTCTTTTTGACCAGGGGCAGTACGATGGCGAACGTAAGAAGCGTGAGCCAGAAGGCCGGGTATGTGGGCAGAAGGCAGATGTAGGCAGTAGGAGTAGGCAGATGTAGGCCCTCAGGCAGTCAGTGGCTCGATGTTCGTTCCTTTTCTCAGTGACTCAGTGCCTCAGTGGCTCGAGGCACCTCCATGGCGGCCAGACCAGCCGAGGGGGGCCGGTCCGCAAGACCCCAAGACCCCAAGACTTTAAGAGCCATCGAGTCATCAAGTCGGGCAGTCGGGGGAGTGACTCTAGTGACTCGAGTGAGTAGTGCGAGTAGTGCGAGTAGTGGGTAGTACCATGTAGTGGGTACCGTACGCAGTACTGCGTAGCACTGCGTACTGGGTACAGAGGGGCGAGAGAGGAGAGAGGAGGAGAGAGGCGTCGTGACAGCCTAGGCTGCACGTGTGCAGGCGCGCTGTGGATTTCGCAGCCTGCCTGTCAGATTCGCTCACGCGCTGTTTGAGGCTGGATTGTCTGTGAATGACTACATCAGCAAGACCAAAAGCCAGCAGCGACAGGCTGGGCATGCCACATGCCACCAAACTTCACCAAAGTTCACCAAAGCCAAATCCAAATCTGTGGTGACTTTGTGACAGCTGTGACAGCTGTGACTGTGTTACATGACCCCTCGCTATGCTCTCAGGGCCTAAAGCCTTCAGGGCCTGAGCTCATTGCGCTTGGACCTCGGGGCTGTGCGAGCGTGTGTCTCCGCGTGTGTCTCCGCGTGTGCGTCCGCGTGTGCATGTCTCCTTTCCAAGGTATGCTCGATATCTGGGCATCGATCCCGTGGCAGACCATGACCTTCTATGGATTGCCCATGAGGCAGGGAGCCGTGGCATTTGGACCACTTGGATTGGTGGAAGCTCGAGGCATTGGAAGCACCGCTGCCGTCAGATTGGACGGAACATTTTGACAGCAGCGCCCGTGCCTCAATGAGAAAACGATGAGAAAGGAGAGATGGGCCAGTTGCGGCCAGAGATGCCAGCGACACACGATGCAGGTCGAACAGATTCGAACCGATTCGAACAGGCTGACTTGGCCCATGGAGTTTGGACGCGGTTTTCTCAGGATCGGGTTTTCTACTACAATGCCTCCACACGGCATAGCTCGTGGCGCTGGCCTTAAGGTTGCTTGTGGCGCTGTCAGTCTGTTTCGTATGTTTTGCTTTCAATGAGCCTTCAGGACGCATCCGCTGGAGCAAGTGTACAGGGATACCTACAAGACCATTGTGGGGCTCCGCAACTCCACCATGCCACAGGAGCAGAGCTTTCGCCCGAGCTTGTAGCATTTTGTAGACCATGTCTGAAGGACCGGGCTGATGCCTTGGCCAAGTTGCAGGCAGAGGTCCGACAGATGGACCAGGAGCTCAGAGATGCAAACGTGTCAACTGTGCCATGCGAGAAGTGTGCGTTGTGCAGCGCAAAAGTGTGCAAAACGCCGGGGTTGGTCTCGGAAGGACACCCACAGAGAAGTCGCCAAATGGCAGGGGGTTCAGATTTCTCGACTTGTCCAGCGGCTAAGAGTTCCCTCGAGGTCAGAGCACCAGGATGAGCAGGGGCACCGCTTTTTCTTCAACAAAGAGGCCGGGCAACCGTTTCACGTGCAGCATGAATTGCATGAAGCGAAGACTCTCGGAGGAGAGGCTCAGTACTTGGACGGATCCTCGACCTGCGAAGATGCAGGCCAGGCAGCGTTGTGAGGAGACCCTAGGGCCATGTTCATTCATCGCACATGTGGAGTCATTCATCTCATTCAGGTCTTGTACCTGAAAATGAAGATGCTTAGATTGCTGCTGCTGCCAGACCCTTGAAACGTCTGCGGATTGCACGGCAAACCTGCGGAAGCTGCACAGGTCCAGCAGTGCGGGAACCGGAGTCGGGGACACCAAAGACGCGAGAGAGCGGGACCGAAGGGGAAAAGGGGAACAGACCGTCAGATTGGAAAGGATCAAGGCGATGTGATGATGTGACATGTTTGAACATTTGCTGTGGAGCCTTATGAATGAGGCCAGAGAGGGGTCGGAAAAAAGCCGCTTCCGGCAGGATGTACCTCGAGGTGGCATCTTTGGCCTGCGGCCTGGGAGCGCGGAATCGCATGAACACCACTGGACACACCCAGGTGGGGAGAGAATGGAGAAGGTTGAGAAACCGGACAAAAGAGAAAAAGGCACTCAGACACAGGCTTGGCATCGGCAGAGCTTGGAAGCTTCGAACAGGTTCAGACGATGCACCTATGGCAAAGCCAAGGCAGAGACATGGGCGTGCCGCGTCAGCTATAGCCCAATTGTAAGGACAAGCACGGACAAAAGAACCAGTGCCCGAAGCCAAGATATTTCCTAGTCACTCTGTGCCTTCTTCTATTATTCCACTTAGGGCGCCGCGGATGAGATCATTGACCTGTCCAAAGACGGCTTAGATGACAAGAACTCACCAAGGACCTGCCTGGCTCCGGGAGTCTGGGCCGAATGAAATGCTTGTGCGGTGAGGACATCAGAGCAGTCAGCCAATGCGAGTGACTCTGACAGTGCTTGCCTGAGCTGCGCTGTGTTGAATGAATTTCATTTGCTTCCTGTGTGCCCAAACTGCTCCAGTGTTGTTCTCCATATTTCTGTCCGATTTGATGTGCTACGTTCTGTGGTTCATGGGCATTTCTCAAGGTGTGCACAGTCCACACCAGCAAAGCTGGCCTCACCGGTGCGGAAGCTTCAACCATATTACCACTAGTACGTTCTGGAGCGCGCTTCGTTTTCCTATTCTGTTTTCTTTATCTTTCCCTTCTCCCTCTCCTGCTCATTTTCCTTGCTTTTCCTTGCTTTTCCTTGCTTTTCCTTGCTTTTCCTTGCTTTTCCTTGCTTTTCCTTGCTTTTCCTTCCCCTCCTTCTCCTTCTCCACCTCCTTGCTCTTCCTTTTCCTTGCTTTTCTCCTTCCCGATTCTCCTTGCTTTTCCTTCTCCTCCTTCTTCTTGCTTTTCCTGCTCCTCTCCTTCTGCTTCTTCTTCTCCTTCTCCTGCTCCTCCTGCTCCTCCTCTTTTTCCTCCTCCTTTCTCTTCCTTGTACTCCTCTTCCCGTTCTCCTCCTCCTTCTGACGCAGCAACATCGTTACGACTACCCCAGGAAAAGCTGAACTGGCGGCCGTGTTTGCCTTGTCCTTGTCAAGGTCACACAGGTCACATCACATACTGTAGGTGTCTGCCATGTAAAACGAGTCAAGAGACCGGCAGCGTGACCCTTTCACAAGCAGGTCTGGCAATTGAACGCTAGTAAACACGAGCACTGAGCAGCAATACTCAGGAGTGTTCCTGGCCCTGGGTACTGCACGTGAATGCTGTTTGCGGATGCACAGCAAAAAAAGACAGCGAAAGCCAGCAGAGTTCCGCAAGCGAAGTGACACACACACAAACACTATGATATGTTTGGAGTTGACTAAGCGGAAGCCGGGCTACGTGAGCAAATTGAGGCGGACAATGCAAACACAAAAACGAGTTTTGAGGTCAACCATACGAAAGTCGTCGGGGGTTCACCTTTTCACGGTTACGAAGCAGTGCACGTGGCCGTGCCCATGGGCCCGTCTCTGCAATGGGCTGTCTCTGGGCGCCCGCTCCGGGCATGGTCCGAGCACGGTGGCCTGCGCATTGCTGAAGGGCCGCATTCCCGCACCGGACCACAGTTCAACTCCTGGCCATTCGCCAGAGGGCCCCTGTCCTGCACAGGCCACACGTCCCAACGATGGCCATTCCCCAGTCTTCGCGATTTCAACGTTTGTTCTCACTTTTCACGCGCAGCCCTGCAAACATACTCAGGGAAGCCAACCTCAATAGGCTCCATACCACGGAAGTTCTTACCAAGCTTTCCTTTGATTGAAAGTGTTCGGAGCATTGGTTTTCTTGGCTTGCCTCCGGAGTGTAATGTTGATACAAGGGTTCGTGCTGTCTAGAGTCTAGAGACATGTGGTCCAGCTTTCTGCCGGTCAGCCACTCAAACGCTATGAGCCTTGATGTCAACAAGCAAGCAGCCTTCTGGCATCCTGCCCACCATGAGTGATAGAAAGCAAAGCCAGTGCAGCCGGCTGCAGTACTGGTGGCGATTTGTCGTCCATGTTGTTTTCTTGTGGCTGTTGCCCTGTTTCTCCATGCAGCTGACGCATGATGATCCGTTTCGAGTATACGGCTTGCGTTCCAAAGAGAGTAAGGAAAGTAGCCAGCAAATACTAAGAAACATGTTGCTACTGCAGCCGGTCCAGTAGCAGGTCGGAGCTACCTCGAAAATCACTTTCCAATTTCCTAGGATCAGACAACAGCTATTTGGTTGTTTGTTGCTAGTGGCCTGTTTGCATACTGAGATTTATACTGAGTGTGGGCACTCTCCCAGCTACAATGCACCCAGGTGAGGATAAGAAGAAAAAGAAGAAGAAAAAAAAGAAGGAGAAAAAGAAGAAGACTGAGAAGGTTCTCAAGGAGGAGGCAGCGCGCCGTTTGTTTCGGCCAGCCATGCAGTGATGCCTGAGATTCTTGTTTGTCGCTCGGCTCTTAATTTTTGGCGTGACAGCAAGCCCTGCAGAAGCTCGCGGCCTCATCTCCTGACCTCATGGGCGCGAGGCATGCCGGGTCTAAAGATTGTTTTAAATGAATGGTCTGTAATTGCATATGGTAGCAGACGTGTGGACAAGAGGACGGCAGGTGGTCAAAGCAGCTAAATCCGTTTCAAGCGTTTCCAAGCTTGGCCATTCAATGATTCGCCTTGGCTGTCGGAGACCAAACATGGGCTGCCCGAAAGATGGGCCCGCAGGCCGCCAGCAACTTCCAGTGCTGCCAACCTACAAATGCCTACTCCTCAGAACCGCGCCTAAGGTGTATCTTACATGTGCCGTTGGCTTCTTCGGTTCTTAGGTCCAATTCAGAGGACGGTGGAGGCCATGGCTGTCGCTGATCTTTCTCAAGTGTTGTGCTGTTTCTGAAGGCTTTGGAGACGGGGAGGCTCGGTCAAGGACCGTGCGTGTGGGGTGAGCTTGCAGATCTGAGAGGCATTGGGCAAGGGCCATGTGAAGATCAAGGCTGGGGCAGTCTCCTAGCACCATTCGCAGCTGGCCACGTTGCAGGCCGGCATTCGCCTAGAGCCTTTGAGCGCACTGGGAGGCTGGGCCCCGAAGGGAACAGGAAAGGAGGAAAGGGGACTGAGAAATGGAGAGACAGGGGAATGGTTGGAATGGCATGGTCTCGGCATGGTCTCGGCAAAGTTGCATCTTGCAATGGTGCACACCGCGCGTGCCGCTCCAGCGTGAAGGAAGCTCCTCGGAACGTGGGCTAGATGTGCGGGGCTTGAGCAATCGAGTGGACCGTATGCCGTCTGTTTGATTTCGCGCAGAGGTCCGGTTGACTGGAAGCCGCGGCTGATGGCCAGCCTTTAAGAAGGTCAGGGTCAGGATAGTTTAGTGGAGTGGCCGACCCAAGGATTGAGCTGCCTAGACCTATGCAACTATTTTGCACGCCAGCTAGAAGACAGGGTCGACCTACTGCGGGGCATTCAAGTGCCCCTGATTGCTCCTCCTGGGTACCAGGAGGTATTTCCCACAACCAGGTGCTTGTGGCCTGACTGTGGCAAAGTCGCCCCTGGCTGTATTCTCAATCTGTCCAGCCCTTTTTGCGGTTTAATGAACCCTTGCGACACATGCGATGGCCAATTTTCAAGACTGGCCAAAGCAAGGCCAGGCAATGCCTGAATGTGGAACGTCTCACGAACGCGGTAGGCTGGTCTATTCATGTTTCACTTTCTTCCGGCAGAGGTTGGCAGTGTTGCCATGAGCGCTGCCCGGCATGCATGTCTCGACCTCGCAAATCAGTAAGCCGCGCCGCAGGACCCTTGGCAGTTTAATCAAAAACTGAAGACGCGACCCTGTGGTCTGGCTGACGGGCTGACGCATTTGCCATGCTGTGGGCTTGCATGGTGTCCGTAGGGCCGGAGCATGGTGGACGGGGTCACTGGCTTCTTGATGGCTCACAGGTCAGGCAAAGCATGGCCCCTAGTGACCAGGAGGTTGAAGATGCGCTTGAAGCTTGGGGCCGCGATGAAACCTGGAGCGAAGATGGGCCTTGGCCAAGCTGGCAGGGAACGCCGACCTCAAGGCTGAAAGGCTCCAAGGACAGCACCTGCTGGGGCCTCAAGTTTCCTGAAAGCAAGTCAAGGTGTCAAGGGGTGCGAGTCACTTAAGTCAATTACAGTGACTGAACCGAGGTCCCAGTGAAGCCGAGAAGGATGATCGAAGGGTTGCATCGATGCAGCGATCTTCCAGCCATGTGCAGCTCCGACCGACGAGCGAGCAGAGCTCCCGACCCAAAAGCCAGCAAAGCTCCCGGCCAAAAAGCCAGCAGAGTTCCCATTTCGCAAGCCCAGCTGGGAAAACTATGACGCAGCGCTTTTCAGCGGACGAGCTTCAATGCTTCAAGCGCATTCCGGAGCCATCTTCGAATTTTCACCAGAAGACCCAGGCGTACTGGCACTCTGTAGGGGAGCTGCGCCAGAATCTGTCCAAGCACAACTGGCACATGCTGCCAGTACTCAAGGGTCAGTTCTTCCAGCACCCCAAGCTGAAGCACAGCTTAGCAGGGCCAACGCCGGCCGAGAAGGAGAAGGCCCGTGAGAAGGCAAAGCGCCTGCTGGCAGAGAAGAAGAAGCCAGATGAGGTCGAGGCGCTGGCGAACGAGCCGTTTGTAAGCGAGGCGTGGGTCCATGGGTTGTGCCGTATTTTTAGATGTTCAGTGTCTTAGCATGTCTTAGTGTAGCGCAAGGCTAAAAATTTAAAGCTTCCAACGAGCGCTGAGCGCTGAGAGCCTATGAATTCGCTGGCAGGTGCTGGACCGCATCTTTCCGCGGAACCCACGGGGCTTTGAGGAGAGCCCCCGGCCTCGGCCCCGGCGGACCTCCATGTTGGAGTCGTACTCCATGCGGCGTCAGTCCCTGACCCCGAGCAGCCTGGGGGCTTTGGGCGGTGCGCCGGGCGCGGCACGGGTCCGCGAGTCCTCCAGCAGCCCGGGCCGCGGCAGCCGGGCGCCGCGCGTGGTGACGCGCACCGCCATGGAGGAGTTCCGCGTGAAGATCCTCGAGAAGTTCACCACCATCAAGGAGGCCTTCGAGACCTTCATGAAGGACTTGCCCGACCGGCCCGGGACCCCGGCACCGGGAGAACATTCCGAGAAAACACGTAATTACATGTTCTGCCTTCAATCAAAAGTGAGGCAAATCACGAAGCTGGAGCTTTCTCGCGTTCTAGCACGACATGGCTTCGAGTGGCAGTCCAAGCAAATCCGCGACACAATTTTCGACCGCTTGGACTTCAAGTCCATTGGCCGCGTTACAATGGTCGGCTTCTACGTCATTGTCGAAGCTTCTGCTCCTGTACGAAACGTCGAGGATTTGAGGCGCAGGTGGCTAGCAAGCCGGTTTGGCTCTATGAACCAGGCAATCATGCCGCCTAATTCCCAAGTATTGTTTTGCAGGTTGTGTTTTGTGGATTGAATCATAGGAGTCCACACAATTTCATTTAGCAGGTGCAAAGGCTGAGTGGTTTAGCTCAGTCGGCTGAGGACTATGGTGGACAATTCCACGGTGGCTTTGACGAATCGGCTCACGCTGCAAGAGTTTGGCAGCCGGTTGCAGCTGGTGAGCGTGAATGATCCGGAGGAACATCAGGCGCTCTTCAATGCTTTGTGCAGCGGTGGCCGGATTACTGTGGGGGACCTTGCCAGTGCCATCTCGGTGGTGTCTCCCTGCTTGTTGCTAGAAGATCTCCGCGACAGGCTGCAGAAGCGCTATTCTGGGGACTTCAAGAAGGCATTTGCCGACTTGGATCTGGACCGCAGTGGTTCTCTGAGTGAGCATGAGTTTGTGGTCAAGCTAATGGACCGCTTGCATCTCACCGAGCGGGAGGCGGCCAAAATGTTTCGGGAGATTGATGTGGATGGCTCTGCTGAGATTTCCCGCAATGAATTCATCTCTGCAATCGGCTTGTCCGAGCCATCGCTATTCTTGGAGGACCTTCGCAAGAAGGTTAGGCAGAGATTCCGCAGTTTCAAAGCGCAGTTTGCGGATGCATTTGACAGCGCGCTGAATGAGTGTGCCGCTGCACCACGCCTCTTGCTGAAGAATTTCCAGGAACTCTTGCTGCCACTCTCCATGAGTGAGAAAGAGACAAAGGTTCTCTTCAATCTGATTGACATCGACCACGACGGCCGGCTCTCCATCCGCGAGTTCGTGCGTGGTGTCCGGCACTTTGCTCCAGCGTCAGTATTGGAGGACCTGCGCGTGCGCTGCTGCCAGCAGCATGATAGAATCACCGACCCCTTCGTCGACCTGGACCACAACAAAGTGCTGGACAGCTTGGCCTTTGCCAAGCAGATGCTGGACATTGGGCTTTGCGATGGCAAGGGTGCAGATCCACGACTGGCAGAGCTTCAGCCAGGGGTCCCGGCCCAGGCGCTCTTTGACATTTTGGACGTTGCCAACAACGGGGAAGCGACTTTCGGGCGTTTGCTCGCGGCGCTGCAGTCCTGTGGGGCAGGGACGGCCGCCCGGCTGTCGCCGATGGAGCTGGACATGCGCGCCAGGAACGACGTGAAGAACGACCTGGCGGCCATGCACAAGCTGGCGAGCGATGTGAAGTTGCAGGCGCGCCAAGGCATGAAGTTCACCGAGGATGCGCTGGATGGGAACGAGTGGAAGGTCGGTCCTCGCATTGTCGATGCGATGCTGGAGCATGTGGATGCCGACTTTGATGTCCCGGTTGACACCGAGGAAGGCTCGCCCAGGCCCAAATTCCAAGGGCCTCCCAGACTCAAAATGTTGCTCAACGAAGACGTCTTAAGGCAGTACCAGAACCAGCGGGCCGCAAAGCCAGTGGTACAAATCAAGCGGCCCATACAAAATGCTGCTCACGGGACTTCAGATTCTTGGTCCCGATTCTGGACATGCGTGCAGCGAAGCCCCAAAAAGCACGAGCACCAGAAGTTGGAAGAGAACCTGCAGGCATACTTTCAGACAACTGCTATGAAGTTGTCGCAGGATGGGCCGCTCGTGCATGGCACAGAGCAGAGACGGTGCCCCGACCCATTCCTCAGCAAGTCTCACCTGACAGAACATGTCACCTCTTAGCTCAGCTCTTTGGAGTCCTATGGTTTGCCTCACCCTTGTGAACAAAGGTGGGGATGCGCCATCCCCGATCCGTTTCACCACACATTCTCCAGTTCTTGATCACTGCAGCCGTAGCCTCCCTGAGTTTTCACCCGGGTGTAAGATATCGTCGAACCAGGGCCTACAGAGCTCATCGCCAAGTCACATGAGGCAGACTCAAAACTCGCGCGTATTGGCAAATCTCGTTTTAAATGTTGTCTTGCTGCAGGGCAGTCATTCGCTTGTCAGCTGGGCTGGCGTTCTGTCAGGACTGAGTTGGTTTGGTGAGTCAGTGCAGCTCAGAACTGGTCAAATCACTCAGGACTGCAAGTGACTCTAGCTAGACACCCAGCTGCAACGGCATGATGCATAGTTCGCTCTCCCAGCATAGCTGCATCCAAAGGCAGGGCTTCTCGGTTGATTCCATTTCCTTCACGGGTTAGGGGCCATATAGCAGACTTGAGTTGTTTGCGCATTGGCTCCTCGCTTGTTAGGATCGAAAAGATGAAAACGGGCAACCACGAGAGCTTCCGACAACATTTGCCAATGCCATGGCTTTCCATCATTGTTGAATCTCTACTGCGGCGGCATCCGTCCACTCTCTTTTTTGGTCGCAGTCAGCCTAGAGCTACAGGTGCTGGCACCTGGGTTTGCTATGCTTACTCTCGTGTTTGGCCTTGCACTTGTCGAGATCAGAAAAGTATGGGATGCTTCCTAGGCAGGCATTGTCTCTGATCCTCCATGGTGTTTTCTGAGATTCTTCGGGCGGATGGCACTGCTGCCGCAAGGAACCAGTGACAAGCCACAAAGCGCCCTAGATGGCATCGCCACAAAGCAAAAGCTGAACCACAAAATGCAGCAACCGCAAGCTCCAGATCAAATGATGTTGGCCCTTGGCATGTGATGGGCATGCGGAGCATTTGCAGCAAGGTGCGCCAAGGCACTGGAAGCTGCGAGCTATGGTCACGAAGAGTTGCCGAGTCAGCACATCGAGCAATTTCTGTAGCCGTAAGGCTGCCAGCAGAAGCCCAGAAAGTGCGCCGAAGTTACACGAAAGAAAGGGTGACTTTGCAGCATCGCCAAAATCGCCCTCCCAGTGCTGCAGTGTTGTGGCAAGGGATCCAAAGTCAAGCATGATGGCAACGCATGTGAATTAAGCTGCTTCCGAGGGCCGTAATGAGCAAGCGACGCTGAATGTTGGCCAGGACGAAAACACAGTCAACATGGGGAAAGCAAACTCCCACTGATGGCCAGCTCCCTTGGCTCAACACCGCAATGTCGAGGGTGGGTGATTGCCAAAATGAATTAAAATGGAAGAATGGCTGTGAGGCTGTAGGGTGTCTTGTATTTGGATTGTTCGGTGTTTTGGCTAACCTTCGCACTTTGAAGCCTCCGTTTTATTTCACGAGTTGAGCGGCCCAAGCAAGCGTCACCGCCAGCAGGGCTTTGGATGTCGTTTTTGTCGTCAGGTGCTTGGATATTAAAACCTCACGGCTGCGTGCTTGCAGTTCTTTTTGCAGTTCTTGTTGAAGCGATCAGCACCTCACTGCCTCACTCAGCACATCCTGCCAAGCAATCAGCCTCAAACAAGCTACTCTTTTGCTCGATGGTTTGACCTTGCATGTAGTCGTTTCATGGGTTGAAAGTGTGTTTGTTGTGGTTTGCTCCAGCATTGCAGTTCAACTATGTTCAAAATGTGTGTGTGTGTGTGTTTTCCCCGTGAAGTTTGAGTGCACTCCCTTGAAGTCGCTTGATAAGGTGTATCTACAACAGTGACAGTGTCTCTCAGCTTGACAGTTAGCTGGATCACTTGCATTGCCTGGCGATTGATGCTGCAAACCTGTTTGGTAGGTGTGTGGGTGCATCTTGGTCCATGTTTTCGGTCAACCCTCACTGGCGCGCGCGTCCCGCTGCTCCCCACGCACGCGTTTCCGGCCAACACTTCACTGGACCGCCTGCTGGGTTTGCCCGCTTTGCCCGGTGCGAGGCTCTGGCCGCATTTGTTTGGGCGGCCCGGGCCACGCGGGCTCGGTCGACTCGAGCGACTCGGGCGACGGGCCGTGGCCGACACGGCCGAAGGTGCCCGCTTGGAGATCTGCAAGTGGGGAACCCAATTCGAATGAAGCCTGTCATTCCTGTAATATGATTGATTTGGACAATGAATAACAATTGAATCGATCGAACAAAGAAATGATCAAACATATCCGTTATACAAGATAATTTTATGCATAAACATATTATATGTTATTTGTTGATAACTAAATTTTATGTTTGAGAATTTTAAGAATTTATGGAATTATAAATTAGTGATTTATAATTTAAGGAATTCATTTTGGAAATTTAAAGATATTTGTTTGGGAAATTCTCCTATAAGCCGGTCGCATTTCCCATGCACCGTGGAGCCGCTGCAGCGGTACTCCGGCCGCTTCGTCGTGTCTCCGTGCTTGCGGCGAGCGGCGGTGCCCGTCCCGGTCCTTTCTCCGCGCCGCAAGCTCCTGCCTCTTCGCGCGGCCCGGAAGTCCCCGAAATTTTGCTGAAATTTGGGGGGGTTCTTCAGATCTTCGCTCAGAGTTCTCGCGGCATAGCCGGGCCGAATTTTTTGGTCGCTTCCGGCCACCGGCTCTCAGATCTTCTCTCTTTCTCTATTTCTTTCTTTCTTTCTCTCTGTCTCTTCGTCTCTTTGTGTCTTTGCCTTTGTCTTTCGGTCTCTCTGCCTCTCTGCCTCTTTGTCTCTTTGTCTCTCTCTTTCTCTCCCTCTATCTCTCTGTCTCTCTGCCTCTGTCTTTTTTGTGCGTCTCTGTGTCTTTGTGTCCTTCTTTGTCTCTGTGTCCTTCTGTGTCTCTGTGTCTCTGTGTCTCTGTCTCTTTGTGTTCTTCTGTGTCTCTTTCTGTCTCTCTCTCTCTCTCTGCCTGTCTCTCTGCCTGTCTGTCTGTCTGTTTGCCTTTCTGTTTGTTTGTTTCTGTCTGTCTGTTTGTTTCTGTCTGTCTGTCTGTCTGTCTGTCTGTCTGTTTGTTTCTGTCTGTGTCTGTCTGTCTGTCTGTGTCTGTCTGTGTCTGTCTGTGCCTGTCTGTGTCTGTCTGTGTCTCTCTGTGTCTGTCTGTTTGTCTGTTTGTCTGTTTGTCTGTCTGTCTGTGTCTGTCTGTGTCTCTCTGTGTCTGTCTGTTTGTCTGTTTGTCTGTTTGTCTGTTTGTCTGTCTGTCTGTGTCTGTCTGTCTGTTTGTTTCTTTCTGTCTCTGTGTCTGTGTTTGTCTGTCTGCTGTCTGTTTGTTGTCTGTCTTTGTCTGTCTCTGTCTGTCTTTGTCGTCTCTGTCTGTCTTTGTCTGTTTTTGTTTGTCTCTGTCTTGTCTTTGTTTGTTTTTGTCTATCTCTGTCTTGTCTTTGTTTGTGTTTGTTTGTCTTTGTCTGTCTCTGTTTTGTCTTTGTCTGTCTTTGTTTGTTTTTGTTTGCTTGTTTATTTGTTGTTTATTTGGTTTTGTGTGTCTTTGTTTTTGTTTATTTTTGTTTTGTTTGTTTTTGTTTGTCTTTGTTTGTTTGTTTTTTGTTTTTGTTTATTTTGTTTTTTATTGGCTTGTATTTGTTTATTATTTATTTGTATTTGTCTTTTCTTTTGTTTCTTTATTGGTTTATCGTTTTTGATATTATTGTATTATATATTTATGATTCTATATTTATTAAGATGTATATATTGATATTGTTTTTATTTATATATTGTTAGTTGTACAATGATTATGTTTATTTATTGGCATTTTTTATTTGTTTGTATTTGTTTTATTTGTTTTTTGTTTTTATTGTTTGTTTTGTTTTGGGCCCCGATTGTACGTAAACGCGCGCTCAACGCGCGGCTACTCCCATTGGAATATCGCATTCATGCTCGTTTTATACACGTTTTCATAGGGTTTGCTGCCAGAGGCCCAGGGGGGGTTTCGGGGGGGTTCCGGGGGGTTGCGGGGGGGGGGGGGTTTTTTTCGGGGGGGGTTCGGGTTTGGGGGGGTTTCGGGGGGGTTCGGGGGGTGTTATAATACCGTTCAGGACAACTTGCGTGTTTGCATGCGCCATGTTGACCTGAGTTCAAGATCGTTTGACATAAAGGGTTCTTACACATGATTAGCATGCAAACAGCGAATCACGCTGTTTGATTTCTACATGTCCTTGCATCAAGTGCACCATGGCTTGTTTCGTCCGTGGGCTGGAACTGCACTGGACAATTATGCCCAGTTCGTGATGCAGCTGCCGGGCCAATGAGTGGTGCCCACTCACCGAGATTCATCAAGCCGCATCCGTGCTGGCTTGCACAGCCAATATCTCTGAAGAACATTTAGGCAGCTTGGCCTCGTTGAACGTGATCGAATTCAAAACTCATGTTCGCATTCCGCTGAGCTCATGCGCTCTCGCGCCAGTGACGCCGCTAACTAAGCCCATACCCGCTGCTTGTCCGTTAGAAAGATTTTGCCTTGCTGTGCGATGTTAGACTGCCGCTTAATGTAAACGGCCCTGCCCACCTAGTGGACTTGCGTAAGCGCCGCGAAGCGGTGGGCAGGGGCCATGTTTTCGGGGAACCCCCTAATAATAATGGTCCCACGCGGTGATGATAGGCGAGAGAATGTTGCTGCCGTGCCATGTGTTGAAATAGCTTGAACATGTGTGTTGGCCATACAGGATTATTAATCTTTTTTGTGTGTTGGCCATGGACGCTCATGTAGATCAGTTGTCGGCCATGCGCTTGCTGGAAGCACCTGGTCTCCAGAACTTGCTTGAAGCCTGCGCCTTGCTGCGGAAATCTAGGTGCAGCAAGTTAGGCCGTGCTCCGAAACGCTACATGGACCTAAGCCAAGACAAAGCCTGGCTATGGGATTAGGTATGAAAACGTGGGTGAAAAAGACCATGGCGGCTGCTTGCCAAGGGGATTCACACATCCTGGGGCGCGCGTTTACGGCCAATCGGCGCGTTGTTTTGTATTATTTATTTATTGTTATTTGTTTATTTATATATATATATATGTTTTTGTTTTTACTTGCTATTGTTTATTTTTACTTAGCTTTTTAGATATTTTTAAATGTTTTGGACTATTTGTTTGTTTTACTTGATTGACTATTTCTACTTGGCTTTGTTTATTTTTACTTAGTTCTGCTTATTTTTCTCTATCTTTGCTTATTTGTTTGTCTCGACTTACTACTTGCTTC